GCTTAGTATCACATCAACCTCAGTTATACATACAGTATACAGTATTGGTCATAGACGATGCTGTATTCGTATTAATTGGTGGTAAGTTACTTGTGCGGATAAGCGGGAGAAAATGGATGGATGGGTGGTAAATTACTTGTGTTCTCTATTGTGAACACCCTTGAAAAATAATCATTAAACTCGTTTACCATATCAATTTCGTTATCAATTATAAGGCCCTTACTATCCTGTAAATTAGTGATTTCAGCTTTTAGTGCTCTCTTGGAGTTAAAATATTGTAAGAAACCTTTACTGTCATGCTTAGCCTCCAATGCAATTTTTCTTTCCATGAAATGATGGTAGCCAGTTCCCCATATACTCTCTCTTCCAGGAAATTCTTTAAAGAATAATGTGAACTCCTGACAGCTCCTTTTGCGAGAACTGCTGTGAGTTGTTCTTGTCATGTGAATTTCCTACAGATACCCAGTTTTTACCTGTACACCTCACTCTGACTCACCATTAGTGTGAGGGTGACAGCAAGTGTGACAGTGTCCTTCGATGAACCAACAACCCATTTGCGGTGGACTCAGCATTAGCCTTTGGGGTAGCATTGGTATCACTAAAACCTTAAATATCTACTTATTGAAAGCTGATTACAACAAGAAACTATCAATTATGGGGGGAGGCTGTAGTTCAAGGGCAGAGGAGGAGGGCCGGCAGGAAATGGCAGGACACTCACTGTGATGTCAGGCTTCTGTAGCCCCTGGGCCTCCTTGGGGGAGCTCAGGAGGAGGTGGTTCATGGGGCCAAGCTGGCGCCCAGCCTCCTCAAGATGGAACGTTAGCAGGCAGGTTTGCACGGTGCAATTTGCGCAGTTTGCCAACAGCTCCTTAAGTGGCGTTTTGTACAGGGGAAGAGCTGTTCCTCCGCTCACTGGCGCCGCCCCAGAGGTCACAGTGCACACCGGCTCCAAGCTGCTCCACTGGTACACTGTGATCTGACAGACACCATTATGTTATCTATGAAGATACAAGGTATCCTCCACCACTTTTACATGCGAGTGCTCTACATTTACCCCAAAGACCTACCACCGCGCTAAGAGTTTTGTTATTGTTCAGGTCCGACACGGCATAGATCAGCAGATTGCCCTGGTCCTGGAAGCCCACCGGCAGCACAGGAGCAAAGAAATCTTTGGCAAAGTAGTGCAGCATCTTCCACTTCCCCCCAAACTCTGAGGAAACAGAAAGAGTCATCTTCCACTGAAGTGCACAAACCCCTGATGTAACGTGTCCATCTGTTCTGAATCCATCAGCGAAGAAACTGGAGAATTCCACATGCAGTGTGAAAATGCTGCCATCTGCTGGCCAGTCTCTGTGAGGTACCACTCTAGATTTACTAAAGTGCTGTTATTTTTCTCAGACGTGTTAAAATGTATGCATTTTATAACTGGAAACGGACGCATTGGGTGAAAGCACTAACCAATAGAGGCCCAGGAGGGGCCTTGCCAAATGTCATTGAGTTGCCAGTAGAGGGCGCCCATCGTATGGCCCTGGCCTTCGATGATCTCACTTCGACTCCGGCGGTAGAACTCTGTCTGAGCTTTCACACACTGCGCCTGCATCACCTGTAAGCAAACGTGGAGAGACACACTGTCCTGTGACTCTAGACATCCCAACATACAGTTGGACCTCCTTAAAGCCATAGAAGAGTTAACATATTTACAATATTTGGACTCAGATTCAAATGGCCTCAAATATAAATTACTACATCATATTACACAAACACTTCAGATTCCTAATAAGAAAAAACTTAAATGATTATAAAAAAAAAATAAAAATCAGGCAATCACTCTAGCAGAGGGGTAAACACATGATGATTAATTATTCAGTCATATGTAAATAAACTGAAGCAGTTCACAGCTGAATTCAGGGAAAACCTCACATGCAAGAACTAAGAAGAACTAAGGATATTCTGTTCATGGTTACAATTTCCTTTCCATCAAGGCAGATGTATAGGGGAATTTCAGGTGATTACCTGACAAAGACTGATCTGAGATATACAAAAAGTACTAATTGATTTCATAGAAACGGAAATAGTGTTAAGAACAAACACAGACATACAGACGGATCAGTGTTTAGCCACAAACTAAACATCTTGGTGTCTTGCATATACAATACAATAGTAATATTGATTTCTTTCTTCTATGCCATTTTGCTGCCTGTGAGACACACAGACACATTCATGCGAGAGCAAGCTTGGGGAGTCACAGCACAGGGTCAGCCAGTTAGCACTGCCCTAGGAGCAACTGGGGGTTAAGGGCCTTGCTCACAGGCATCTGCTGGCCATGGGATTTGATCTGGCAACCTTCTGATCACAGGCACAAAGTCCTATCCCTCTGAGCCACATTCCGGCCCACCTGACCACCAAACTGCAATGAGTGGATGTTACAATTAGGTCGTTACTTGTGCACAGGTGCTTCACCTCTACCTGTGTGAGGTAGAGCGTGTCTCTATACTCCTGTAAGGGATGGGGAGATTGGGGTAGGTGAAAATGCAGAGCCGCCTGCAGCAGCATCTCCATGTTGCCAGCCAGGTGGTGCTGACGATGGGAGGAGAAGAGGCTGCTGTATCTCCAGTCTTCAGGCACGGAGACCTGCATTGGGGACAGTTAACAGTTAAATGTCTAAGGGTATGAGCTCCTACGTCCACCCAAATGCTTCCACTCAGTTAAAAAAAAATCAGCCATTACTAACCTCACTGACACTATACCAGGGGAGCTCCTAAATAGGTAACATTTTTAATAGCTAGTATGCTATTTAGGCGTGAATGTTACTGTTAAAAACTTTTTTTTGAAGTATGGAGGTTTTATTTTTAAAATATAATACAGTAAATCATTCATGGTCCGAGACACTCACTGGCCTGTCAATCACTGACACATTGCATACATTATTCAGTGTTAAAAAACACTTAAGTATAACAACTCCACAGACATTCTTAACCCAAGTTTACACACTCAAAATTTTGACCTTTCTGACAACGAAAAAGTAATGTCTAAAAATATGTTACAGCTGCAGACGACTCATTTCTCTGCTTATGTTCATCTCGCGTGTCAAGAATTAGGAGAGAGAAAAAAAACGTCAGGATTTACGCTTCATAATAGCTTCACTTTATAACTGCCATTAAGGACAAAACAGGCAACTAGTTAATGTGGGCTGATGCTGCCTTTATCAAGCCAACCACACTGCAAGTAGTAGTAGTAATAATAATGATATTTTATTATTTTTATATTATTAACAACAATAATCCATCCATCCATCCATCCATCCATCTTCCAACCCGCTTATCCTTCTGGGTCGTGGGGGGTCTGGAGCCTATCCCGGAAGCTACGGGCACGAGGCAGGGATCAACCCAGGATGGGGGGCCAGTCCATCGCAGGGCACACTCACACATGCACACCTATGGGCAATTCAGTAGCACCAATTAGCCTCAACATGTCTTTGTACCGTCGGGGGGTACCCGGAGTGTCCAGAGGAAACCCGACGACATGGGGAGAACATGCAAAGTCCACACACATGTAACCCAGAATCGAACCTGGGTCCCAGAGGTGTGAGGCAACAGTGCTAACCACTGCACCACCATGCCGCCCACAACAACAACAATAAGTGTAATTTATATAATGCCGTCGGGGGGGTTTACCTTCATCAGTGTAGACAGAGACGGCCAGGACTGGAAGCCGTACTCAGAGGCCAAGCGCGTCCGTGGGAAGTTCCTCCAATCCCAGCAGTCGGCTAAGTAGTTGTAATAGTGGGTGTCCCCGTAGTGGGTGTCGTACGGATTCTGTGCCACCCAGCCTTCCTTCTCTGACTCTGCCCCGTTGGTGGGGCTGGAGGTGAGGAAGGGGCGGGTCCGATCCACCTGATAAACAGACAGCCTTCTTCAGATGCGGATCGCTGCCAGAGATTTTCACAGCTAACCTGCATTTGTACTCATGATGGCAGATCTGGCTCCATTTCAAACCCTCTGAGGTTTCCTGTGGCGACGATGCTATGCGCCGATAAAGCTCTACAGCATGCAGGTGCTGGTAGCTTCAGAGGAAGGACGAGTCCAATAAAACAAGCGCCTACCAAAACATCACCTGAAAGGGTCAGTGACTCACTCTGAGGACGATGCTGCGGATGTTGTCCACATAGAGGGAGGTGTAATCCTTCACGTACTGCGGCTGCTCTGACTGGGGTATTCCGAACCAGTTGGTTGCGATCGCCGCCTCATTCTCGTTATTACCGCTCCACACGATGATAGAGGGATGGGATTTCAACCTCCTCAGCTGGCACACAAAACACAACCGTAACAACACACGATGCCTTCAAACCAACAGACAGCAAATCAACAAGGCATCACTCATAGATAAAATATGTCCTGTAAGTATTTATTAACTCGGACAATATCAACAGATGAAGACAAGTCATTACATATAACACTGGAAACAACCATCATTTTGATGATCATGTGGTTGAACAACTTCTCCTGGTTATTCTTAGGGTCCTTTTTGCTGAAACTGTAAATAACTACACTGAGGATGACAACATCCATAATTCAGCCGGAAAGCAGAATGCATAAGCTCCAGCTCTTCAACCTTAAGAGAACTCACCTGCCTTCTGTTCATGCCGCACATAAGGGTGGGTAATAAGGCAAAAACATCATATCACAATTTTTTCCAGGTAGGATCATGATCCGTGATCTTATGATGATTCTTTTTCTTGTTGATTATTTTGCAAGTTACAACCAGTACAACCAAACTAATTCCCCCATTTTTTTAAATATAGCCCTGAAGCCTTAGTTACAAAACCTAAAATAAGGACTGTAACCGATGTTGAATTCTTTTTAGCTCCATGCAGCTACATTACACCGAGAATGTTTTACATGTTGTGCATTTATGCTGGGATGAGGGAGTGAAAGTGAGAGAGGACAAAATCCAAAGCGCTGTCTACTTGGTAGTACCACTTTATCGGTGTGTCAAAATGGAGAACTTTAGATGCGTGTGTAGAACTGCAAATGGTAGAATGTGCACTGTAGCATGACACTAATGATCTCTCCGTAAAGGTAGATCATGGAGACATTTTAATCATTCACGATCTAGTATCGCCAAATTGCACTTTCACACATGTTGGAAATATGGATACTGATACTCAGTGCCCTCATTTCTCATCTGTAACATCCAGCAAGGCAAGTTTTAGGGCAGTGTATGACTCAGTAGGTTAGGACTCTGCCAGTTACGGGATTTGAACCAGTGACCTTCTCATCACGGGCACTAACCTACAGAGTGATGTCACTATCGGGTCCTTGAGCAAGGCCAGTTGCCCATCTGCTCTAGAGACTGGCTAATCCCTTAAAATAAAAATGAATAATTAACAGATGCACAGATGAAATTGAATTCTTCAAGCTCATCCTGGACAGGGTGGCACTTTATGAACCATAATAAAAAAATACATTCAGAAAATTAATACTGGAATAATAAGCATTAATTCATATGAACTTTCCTTATGTATCTGTTGATACTACACACTTGTCTTACAAGCGAAGGGGTATAGTGCTTAAGGGCTTGCTGGTAATCTCTAGGTTGCCAGATCAGTCCCACAAGAGGCCCTGAAAAAGTTTCTTAACCTTATATATGTGCTGCCAAGTTTTTTTTTCTTTTTTTATGAAGATACAAGGTACAACAACAACACAGCTGAAAGTAAAATGCGGAATGTGGCCCTTTCCATGGCCTTAACTGGGCAGATTCTGCCCTGCATCTTGTGGCCGGCTGAGAAACACTGGTGAGCCTCGATACTTGATCCCGCTCACCTGGTGAGTCACTTCCTCTCTCACGGTCTCCATGAAGTCTGACTCTGTGGGGTACAGCGCACATGCGAACATGAAGTCCTGCCAGATCTGGAGGGCAGAAGCACAGGACCAGAGGATAACATTTCTCAAGCAACACTATCCACTCTATTGTAACAATAAGTGTGTTCATCCATATGTTTCACGATATAGAAATTAGACTATTGAAATTTCCTTCCCCTTAACATTTAAGAATATTTTTTACTTAATATGAATCATGATTTTCATTATTTCATAAAAATGTATTCACAAGAAAGACCTCTAACACCTGCATTAATGCATCAAAATGTCATTTTTTCTTAAAGCTGGGACTATCAACATTGGAAAGGTGCTCAAGCTTCCCTAGAGATGCATCTAATTGAAACTAAAAGCTGTCAAAGCTAACAGAAAAACATTTGATTATAAATAACATTTGACAAGCAATCCTTCTGTCAAGTAAAAAATTGTGGCTGAATAATTTCCCCGACTTTCTTTGCATTGGTACTGTTTGTTGTTTATTGTTTGATATTGGTCTATTGTCAGAATGAGTTTTTACATAGTAAACCAGTAATTTCTTTCAGGATTACCAAAGTATGTATGTATGTGTGTCTGTGTGTGTCTATTAGTGTTGTCAAAATTAGTGAAAGTACCGAAAGCATCAATTCTGTTTCAATACTCATTTTTCATGGCAGGAATTCCACAGCCTGGCCATTGGGCGCACATCTAGACCTGAGTGCAGCTTCACACGCCGGGTGTCGCTAAGATGGCGCACACCTAGACCTGAGTGCAGCTTCACACGCCGGGTGTCGCTAAGATGGCGCACACCTAGACCTGAGTGAAGCTTCACACGCCGGGTGTCACTAAGATGACTCGTTCAGAAGCATCAGAGCTTTCACCACTGCGCTTAATCAATAGGGTGCATCTGGAAACTCCTAGGCTTTGTGCCAAATGAAGGCAGTAAACTACAGAACATACGCAAGCCTGCATGCACCGCACGGGGCAAACGCAGTTGGAGTAGAGGTGTGACGTGTATTTTTTCCCCACAGGATAAAACATTTTTTGCAGTTGGTTAGACATGAATGGTATATGATCGGCATATTGAGGTCATGTTGATTAGTGTCGATCATTCGGATACAAACTTTCACAGACATGCAATTGTTAGAAGTGTTTGTGCTTTGAAACACAGGATTAAGAAGGCATACAAAAGTGATGTATGTTTGTTCTATTATGCATTATTATAATAAAGATTTAATCTAATTATAAAGTGTTTTTTTTTATTGCTCAAAATCGCTGAACGCAATTACAATGGCTACTACGATACATAATATTACGCTTTGACTGACAATGCAGTTATTTTTTACATGTGACAGGAGTGGACAAAAGGTTGTAAAGTATTTGTGACAAACAAAATTGCCATAAAAAAAATTTTTTTGAGTTACATTCTATATTGTGCGAAGTATGGAAAAACAGCATCAAATTTTAATACTTTTCTTGGTATCTTATCACAGTTTGCAATTTTGGTATCATGACAACACTTGTTTGTATATGTCTATGTATGGATCTATCCATCCATCATGCACTGTATACACTCACCTAAAGGATTATTAGGAACACCATACTAATACGGTGTTTGACCCCCTTTCGCCTTCAGAACTGCCTTAATTCTACGTGGCATTGATTCAGTAAGGTGCTGAAAGCATTTTTTAGAAATGTTGGTCCATATTGATAAGATAGCATCTTG